CGTTTCACACACTATCACTTTCACTCTCATTATCTCTCCATAATCACATTTACTCATCACTCTTTTTTGTCACGCACACAAAATAAGAACCAATTTCATATTTTCTCCTACAAAACACCTTCCCCGTGGGATCGATATCTTAAATACTATAACTTGACACGGTTGTGCACTTGCAACCTTTTTGGTACATGTTTATGCCGCATCACCTGCAAAGTAAGATACTCGCGTTCAAGAGGCGTGGCCACGATCGAAATCGACGGCCCAGATCGTCCTTCACAACTCATTCTACAGTTGCGAAAGAGCCATTGAAAAGGGGAATGGGCCGGTCAAAGCCCGAAACCCGGACCAAAACTAACGACTTGATCTAACGGCCTGGTTCGAAAACCACGGCCACGATGCGTCGTGGGGCGAAACACACGAAGCTGACATCATGTTGTCAAATCACGATCACCACGACCCGATGGGACCGCGACGCCTTAGCTAGGAAGCACGAAGCCCTATCGGCAGACACGTGGCTCATCTCCCATCTAATCTGGTTCCGCCCCAAAAAAGGAGGGATCTCGCCTGCGAATATTTGGCCTGACCCCACGAGTCGCACGAAATTTGGCTCCCGAAGACCAATTTCGCCTTGACGATCCATTCGCCCTTAAAGGTAAAATTACAAACGAAGCCAATAGAATGACCTCGCTTAAACGGTTAAACCCACGCCTCAGACGGCTACGGGTTAGAGCAGAAATCTTAGCATTAAGCCTAAGAGAAACTGTTCAACAACTCATCATACTGAGGGGAATAGTATGGCTAGCCCGATTCAAACGGTGATCGGTAAAGGCACATCAAACCCGTTGATAGCTGAGGGTTTGCTAAAAATCCTAAAAGAAACCCAAAGGCACTTGCTTTGCCAAAATTTTCTTCATTCAAAGTATTCCAGACCCCACGCAAGCCAGTTTAGGTCTGAAAACTTTTGAAGGGGGTCTTATAGACGGTAAAAAAATACCTCTGATAAGCCTATAGGAAATTCGCCCACAAGAAGTCGCCTGCCTAAGCCGCATTGTCGTCAAACGTGCTCGGTTCCAGATTCGCCTGAATAATCGACTCGCCTGCACGAGTTGAGATCAGTTGGAATAGCGAAAATTCGCCTTTCACGCAACTCGCCTGCCCGAGTCCAAAGTCGAATCCGCCTGCAAATCTCGAGGCCGCCCGCACCCGCTACCCCACGTGCTAAGATGGGCCTTCCCATCTCTCTCTCTCGACCCAAAGGGAGAGGGCACAGTACCCCAAGGCCGTCAAGCGACCGCTCACAGTACAAACGGTGCGAAGGACTGGACAGGTGTTAAGTCGACCTGAGCATTCATAAATGCGACTCACCTCGGCTGTCTGAGTCAGAAGACGGATCCGCCAGCATTCGACGAACTGTCCAAACCCACTCGAGTGCCAGGAACACGCTTTCCCGCCTCTCCTGACCTGAAGAGAGAAGGCACGGCACTCCAGGCCCGCCGAACAAGCCGCCTACAGTACGAATGAGCAGACAGGTGTCAAAACAGCCTGCAACCTCAGTTGTCCAGGCGAAGGGACGAGAGCCGCTGATGCTCGGTGGTTGGTCAAATCCACGCAAGCATCTGACAGCCGTTGTCACGTATACGAGGAGGGGCTTTCCCACTCCTACGTAGTGTGATGCAGAGAGCAGCTCTTCGAATGACCACTGATGGTACGAATGAACAGCAAGACATCTCTGGACAATGTATGGTCACATCCCATAATTCAAGGAGTAGTCAAGCTGTCCTTCTTCCATTTAAAAGCCCTTTCTAGCACACTGTGAGGGAGGTCGCAAAACTTGGTGAAAAGTAGTTGAGACCAAGCTGTTAGCAGATCCTTGCATTACAGCACCACTGCCTAGTTCTGAGCTCCGATCGCCGGCGAACTAAGCAGACCCGAACTCCATCGATTTGAGCTTCTATTGAGAACTGAAGCTCTCCAGCAACCTCGATCGAACGGTCCAAGGGAAGCAGACTCGACACGAGCATCGAGCGAAGCGTCCTATAGCCATCTAAAGTCCCCACACAAAACAAAAAGGGCATTCCTTCTGCTTCTGTTATAACCATTTGATTATTAGTTTGTAATAAGCTTTCTTATTAATACAAACGAAAACTCCCTGTTTCCGGGAAATCAAATTTACACCATACAGAGATGAAGAAAACAAGCATTCCTTGTCCATACCCAAGAGAATGGGAATCGATCCCATATCCGGCGAAATTCAATCTAATTAACTTCACGCCGTTTGATGGGAAGGGTTCACCCACTCAGCATTTGATTTACTTCAAATCGCACCTGGGGGTTATCTCTGGTAATGAGCCTCTGATGGTACGGTCCTTCGTTGGCACTCTTCGTGGAGCCGCCTTTGATTGGTATCGCCGCCTCAAGCCAGGAAGCGTGAATAGTTGGGATGACATGGAAACTAAGTTCCTCGCTAATTTCTTCGACGACGACACCGAGATATCCATCGGAACGTTGCTCGATGAGAAACAAAAAGACGGGAAATTGGTCGACACTGTAGGCATCAAAAAATTGCCGATAGGTCCCCACTCACAGCTCGGTGTTAACGATCGACTATTGAATGATGTCTATCATTACCGGTGCACAAGAAATTCAGAATGACGCGCGGTGAGCAGATTGAAGCGGAACCGATGCGGATTACGTGAGCCCGACACGAATGTCAGTATCACAGGGATACGGTTGACCGAAAACCCCTGCGATTCATCGCAAATTTGGCAACGCCCCACTCTGTGTCCCCGATACACCCGCCTGATTATCCAACCACGTCGGGGCCTACCAGAAGCTCATCGCCAAGAATTCCAGACGCGATACGAAAATCACTCGATCCTGAGTTTGCGGACCGGCGATCAACGGCAAACACACCTGGGAACCACCCTCGACCAGACCTGAGACACTCCGGGGGATCCCGCGGCCAGACGAAAACACCCGAGGGGTGTCTTGGCAAAAGCCAGACACCCCAGGCTTTTCCTCGGCCCTTGGCGAGACACCCCAAGGGGGTGTCTCGGGCCTTGGCGAGACACCCCCAAGGGCGAGCGTGTCTCGGCCCTTGGCCGAGACACCCCTACGCCCCAGGTGGTCTCGCCTTTGGCGAGACTACCCCCAAGGGCGGTTGTCTCGGCTTGGCCGAAGACACACCAAAGGGAGTGGTCTCGGCATGGCCGAGAACACCCCAAGGGGGGTGCTCTCGCCGTGGTCGAGCACCCTAGGGCTGTCTCGGCCACCCTATGTCCCCTCCCATCATTTAGCTATAATTACCCCTAGCGCCTCTTGTGCTAGGACTGATTTCTTTGGCAGTGTTTGAATGGCTAAGTTCCCACACTTCAAGGGCTGAATTATCTTTAGCAAGCGATTGCCCTTCTTCCGAAGCGGCCGAAGACCCTGCGCGAAGTTACCAGGAGTTGGAGTTCTGATATCAAGCCGGCCGAGCCTGCCGAACGAGGAATCTCCAAAGATGAGAATAAAATCATGATGAAACAGGCACTTTTTACCGAAAAACAAGCTGGGCGACCACACGGAGCCAACGGCATCGCAACCGACCGCCGTCGTGACGCACCGGCCTTCAGATCCGGCGTGAATGAATGAGCATCGATGTATGGAGATTCGATCAAAGAAGTTCGAAGAGTACCTCTTCCTCTCCTTCCTCCAGATCCGCCCTCTGCGATGGGGCGGCAGGCGTAGGAACTCATCTCCAAAAGGGCTTCGCGGATCTCCCAAGCTTCCTCAATCCAAGACCCCGCTCTGCCACTACGCCCCGAGTACCACGCAACGGCTCCGCTGTTTCGTCGCGTGGCGTTAAGGCTGTTTAGGCCCGGCCCCTCACAATGCTCCCCAAAGGCCAAATGCTGGTCGTATGCTTCTCCCTAGAATCATCCTCTATTAGATAGAGGAAGCAAACTGAGATGCCGCAGGGT